AACTGTTAGTAGCTTGTTGATAGAAATATAAAAGGCTTAGTCGTGTAGTAAATTGTCTAAATAATGTATTTAATCAAACGTTTTCTTTAGCAGTGTCATGCTCAACGCCCAGCCAGGTAGTATATTCTACATGCATATCATAATTAGTTTAGTTTAACCTCGAACCCTCGAAGTTTGCACTGACAGACAGAAGTAGCCTCCAGCAACTTTGGGCTTTGGTGCTGCTGCTGCTGCTGTTGCCAGGGTTAAGCCACTGAAGTGTGCAACCTTGTTATTAGATCCAGGCTGCCTGGCAGGCAAAAAGCAGTGCCTGGACTACTTTGTTGGTTCCTGTTTTTTCCCAGCAGGACAGCCTCCAGTCATTCAACAGCATCACAGTTCAACAAACAGAAAGTGCTGTGTGCACTGTGTGTGTGTGGAGCAACTGCCTTTGCCTTGCAGTGCAGCAGACATTAATGTGAAAAAAACTAGGATTAAAAAATACTTTAATACTCATTATTCATGGTATTCTCATATACATAAATGTCACACATTTACTTGTGTATATACATAGTTGTGAGATTACAAAATAATTTAACAAGATTCTAGCTCTATTAGAGCCTCAGGCCAAATATTGTCCGTTTTTGAATTGGCTTGTTGCTATGAAATTACCTGTGCAGACCTTTGCATTGTTCACTTGAACTCCATTTAATGGGTTCAGAAACATTATATTATTAATTATATAAACTCTCCTCAGCCCACATTATAAAAAAAATAAAAGAGAAAAGTATCGTTTTTGTTAAAGAAGACGCAAATAAGCTAAACAAATGTTCTAAGTGCTTAAATTATGGACTGTAAGAACAAAACAACAAAGTCCATGCTCAATAATCCATGACTGTCAACAAGGAAGAGGGTCGGCAATGGAGGAGGGGGAGTGCCACAGAGACCATCTTAGCACCAACATAACTGGTTTGTTCCACTTTGGAGTAAGCTATGGGAGGAAGAATCAGTTTTGTTGTGTGTTTCTTTGACTGATGAAGCCTTCCGAATCAAAGGCGAAACGTTTCAGCACAAAAAAAAAAAAAAGAAACGTCCAGATGACCTGACTGAAAAATGTTGGTACGGTCTGTAAGGTTTTGAAATGTTGCATTTTGGAAATAATAAGAAGTTGGGGTTGAGTAACTTTTACCACATAATTATGTTGGACTTATTAGGTGCTGGACACTTTAACTTGACAGAGCATGATAGGCACAAATGTATTAACAGGGCTGGACTTCATGTAGGGGTTTTCATCTGCATTTACATGAAAGACACAAAAGTGAACTGCAACCATCAATAACACAAACACTATCTCTACTTTTTCAATGTGAAATGTCTGCTGGGAAATAAGCTTCTGTAACAATGTTTTAGATTTCCCGCCTGTTCCTATGCTACAAATAATGATTCCCAAAGTTAGGGTCAACAGCCCACTGTGGGCGAAAGGCTTTAAGATAAATTTCTAAAATTAAATAAAACTTTAAAATGGTGGCTAGTTGTAGCCAAATTTCTTAAAAATATATTTTTAAAAAGCAGTCATAAATGTATAAAGTGATTTAACAACTGTATAGGCTGCGGTACTTTCTTGGTATTTTGGCTTATTAGCAAATTCTGTACACTTTAACCAACAATAGATGAGGTCAAATGTTTCTGCTGCTGTTTCTTATTTTTATTTTTTGTGCATCAGAAGCTGAAATGGTTGGAAACTATTGCTCTAAATCGTTGAGTCCAAAAGATGGAGTATTGTTATAGGTATTTATTATTATTATTATTATTATTATTATTATTATTATATAACAATAATTTCCATACTGAATGTTTGTAGTTTTCAGTTTTTCTGGACAGCAACCGAACAGGGAATGCAGGTAAATCTTAATGTTTTTTTGTGCAAGATATTCAAGTAAGTATGAGTTGCACTGTGTAGAAGAACAGAGTTTTATGTTTTACTTTTTATTGTCCAAAGCAGGACAGAGTGATGGATCCTGGCAAGTGGAGGGAGCAATTTCATCCACCACCTGTGCTCCACCAATGGTGGAGCCAGGGGGTGGTCAATGGTGGCCTTGGCCACCATAGATTGATCTTCTGCCACCCCAGTCGTTTGAGGAAACTATACTTTTCAGCAATGTAAAAACTAGAATGTATAGTATTGTCAAATGATGGGGTGGTCTCTTATATCTATATGGTGGTAACCATCTTGGATTTTGACCTGGCAACCCAATTTTCAACAGGAACCTTTCTTACACCAATATGCAGCAACACACCAAAATGGATGTCATTACCTCACTTCTTTTTCAAGTTGTCATGCTCACAAACATGCATGAATGGACAGATGGATGGTGGGTTTTTCCAATTACCCTTCTTTGCTTTGCGATGAGAGACGATATAAAACATTAAAGTACCATTAAAAAAACACTTGTGTTGCTGAGTTTAAGATTACTTAGACTTTAAAAGTTTGTTACCAAGCAGCTAATGTAGCCCTGATTGTCAGAAGCTACCATAATGAAAAGAGTGGTAATAGTATGAAGATTAGGCTACATAAATCTATCCATCACATTTTACTTTGAGCTTTATTTCTTGCCAAATAATTTTGTTTTGTTTCTATTTTGTTTACTGGGTGCTTGTGCTTATGTGAAAAATAGAGTCCAATGCTTCCTCCATGGCTAAATTTGTCCATTAGTGGCTAAAAATGCAACTAGTTCATGATTAGGAAAGGTTTGTACTCTGCAAGATGTTAAGAAGTCTATTCTTACTAACTGCGAGACGTTCTTTTTCACAGGAACATTTAATACTCAAAGAGACATGGCATTGCACAATTCCTGCAAAGCCCCTTCCACCGGGGTCCTCACTCGTTCTTCTCTGTATAGATTTTTGCTTCTCTTACAGCAACCATCACTGACTGAGACAGAAAACTCCATTAGGTATTTGCAAATTTGTCACCAAGACACCGCCACCATCTCCAACAGACCAGTTTATAACAATGGAACTTATGGAACGTGTCCCTACGCTGCCCAGCTGAGGCATACGTTCTCCTGGTCAGCATAGCCATAGAGCCGTAGTTGTGGTTCACCTGCTTTTCTGCATAAACATGCTCACAACAAAGTTATAATCTGTCGCACAATACTTGGCACACACCCCTGAGAAAAGCTCTACACCACTTGTGTCAAACTCAAGGCCTGGGAGCCAAATGTGGCCCTCGTTGACATCGTATCTGGCCCCCAAGAAGATATATTAAATGTAAAATACTTTTATCACTTTAATTTTTTTCAGTATTCTTTGATTATGATGTCAACAGTGCAGCACTGAAAGTCAAATACCTTGTAGAGGGCCACCTGCAACATCATGAAGGACCCCACTCACCCAGCACACACACTTTTTGCCCCGCTCTCCTCAGGAAGGAGGTTGAGGAGTATTAAGTCCTCACCTCCTTCTACAGGTGTGCAGTGGAGAGCATCCTGTGCTCCAGCATCAATGTGTGGCATGGAGGCTGCACAGCTGCAGAAAGAAAGGCTTTGCAGAGAGTGGTGAAGGCTGCACAGAAATCTGTTGGAATCAGCCTCCCCACCATCACAGACATCTACACCTCCAGATGCAGGAAGAGGGCCACCTGCATCATGAAGGACCCCACTCACCCAGCACACACACTTTTTGCCCCACTCCCCTCAGGAAGGAGGTTAAGGAGCATTAAGTGTAGAACCACTAGACTGAGGAACAGCTTCTACCCTGAGGCTGTTAGACTCACGAATCTCTAACTAGAATAATCACTGTGAAAAACCATATCATGTTGCTGCTGATCTGTTTCATGTTGCTGCTGATCTGTTTCAATGTTGATGTGTTCATGCGTGCACATCTGCTCACAGACTCATGTTCATGGTTGTGCTGATGTTCAATGTTTTATGTTATGAGCGCTTAGTGTATATTTAGTTGATGTTTTTCTTGGTTCATATCTTAGATGTTATTACTGTTTTTCTTACACATTTTATTGTTGGATGTAACTGGGACCCTGTGTACATAATTTCGCTCCACCACATGTACCACATGAGGTGCGAATGACAATAAAGAAACTCTGACTCTGACTCTGATTAAGTGTAGAACCACCAGACTGAGGAACAGCTTCTACCCTGAGGCTGTTAGACTCATGAATCTCTAACCAAAATAATCACTGTGAAAAATCACATCATGTTGCTGATCTGTTTCAATGTTGCTGCTGATCTGTTTCATGTTGATGTGTTCATGCGTGCTCATCTGCTCACACAGACATGTTCGTGCTGCTGTTGGACGTAATGTTTTTATGCTGTTAGTGCCTAGTGTATATTTAGTTGATGTTTTTCTTAGTTCATATCTTAGATGTTATCATTGTTTTTCTTTTACATTTTTATTGTTGGATGTAACTGGGACCCTGCGTACATAATTTCGCTCCACCACATGTACCACATGTACCGAATGACAATAAAGAATCTCTGACTCTGACAAATGAGACCAATCAAACTCTTGTTAAGGAACCTGAAACCAAGAAAAGGTGTTGAGTATCTAACTCAAGTTAATGTTGATTCTGAAATTGGCCCTTAGTTTGAAAATGGTTTTAATTCCGGCCCCCTTTTGTAAATGAGTTTGACACCCCTGCTCTAGACCTTTTGCACAGAATGGGTTCTTGGACCTCATGAAATAACAAAATTGTGTAATTTTTGTCACCCAACTACATCAGTGAGAGCAAATGTCTTCACTTCTCAGAAAGCTTTTAGCAATTAGCTATTAAGATTATAAATTGGCTTTTGGTGGGCTAAATAAAAATGACAAGTGGCTCAAAGTTGATCTTTTCCCCCAATTTCTGTTGTTGTAAGACAAAGTAAAAATGTATTTTTAAGCAACCCTGATTATAGTGATTTGTAGAGCTGTGCGTGTGCAGGTCCTGATTGGATGAATCCAGGCGGAAGCAGCTCCATGTCGGACCTTTCCTCTCTCCGCTCGCGTGAAGCTGCTTCAGACGTTCAGTGATGCCTCTGCAGACCACAGACGGGGAGATACATGAAGATACTACGGTCCGTGGGACCTTACGATCCAAGTGACGTCCTATGATCTGCCCCAAGTCGAAATTATTTCCAAGGAAAGACGCGTTTTCTGTGGGATTCAAGGGATTAATCTCTGTCGGGCGGTCTCTCTTCACAAAGGTAGGGAGCAAAATGCGCAAACGTGTTCACTCATTCATTCTGCAGTCAGTGAATTTGTCTTCAGTTGTTTAAAGTGATCATCCCTTTTAGTCAAAATGTTCATTTAAATCCACTTTTTAACGACCGGAGCTCTGAATGTAAGGCTCTTCTGTGTTGTCGGGTTTTGCGTAATTAACGGCGGCTTTAATTGTTTGGATTTTAAGTTCCTCATCCTGCAGAATAAGCCCTTTAAATTTCATCTCACGCTCTTTGATAAAGTTTGTAGACTGCAACATCATTTTTGTGCACAGTGAGGACCGTTCCTGCTGCTTGCCATCTGAGTGATAATGAGGCAATAGTAAAATATCCAAACACCCCATCTGTGCGCTTTGACGGAGGAACCGCGTCTGCAGTTGCGTATTTGGCATTTCAATACGAAGACAAGCTGGATAGGTTTGGGGTTTTTTTTGTTTTTTTGCTCTTATTTTGCGCAGTGACCATATTTAGTTTTTATTTTCCTCCTGTCCTCCTTTGCATTCAATAAATCAGAACATGTTGCCACTTGTGGGATGAGGATGCAGCCATGACCATCACTCATGCAGGGGCTTTGAGATGTAAATTTAACCCCATGTAACAAAGACTCTGATGCCCTGCTGTTTAGCATTAATGATTATATACACTTTTTTTAAACTTAAGGCCAACTTTTCAAGCTCTTTGGAGTACAAATTGGCTTGGTGTTGCGTGAAGTCCTCATCGCCTCATAAAAACACTTTTTTACACCATTAGCCATACAAATCAGCCAACACAACCATACAGTTCAGTTTTGATTAACTCAAATATAAATGAGTCATGTCTGATGTAAATGCATAGCTGTTTTGTCTAGCTTGTGTTATTAGCAAAAAATTGCTATCATAACATACAAGAAAGTAATTAGATGATTGTGAAGGGGCCACTGAGTTATAGGTGGAAAAATAAAGCAAGCGTTCAGATTTTAGCAGTGATGGCAATGATCACGGAGAAGAAGTCAAAGAAATTGCCAAATCAAATAGATAGATAACAATGTTAGGTTGCAGCTAATTGTTTTTTTCCTGCTTCGTGTGTTATCTGTTTTCCTTTTCCCCTAAAAGTAAAAAGGTGCAAGGCAGACATTTTTCCCCTAAGCACTCTTTCTTTTTATCTCAAACACTCAGCCGACAGTCCAACAGTCGGTTAATCTTCCCCTGCTGCCTGTGTGACTTCTGTAAAGACCAAACATTGATGCTTTCCTTATTATTCACAGGCCAAAGCATCTGCTCCCTTTCCCATCCATCAGAAACCCTCTGCTGGCTGCATGCGAGCATCGTAGCTCTGTGAATATTGTGCTTTATTGACCTGTGCTTCATTGCCTTTTTTGTCCCTGTTTATAAATGATAAGAATCTGCTATTTTAATCTGTTTGTGCATTAGCCAAGGGCTCATCCTTTGAATCTGAGCACTGTTAAAACATGATCAAATCAGCTCTGCTACAAAGAACTTTTAAAACTTGCTGCCTTCCAGGTGCTAGTGGAGTATTAAGATTATGAGAGATATGAGCTGTTTAATATTTTAAGAGCTTTCTGTATTTTAAACATATTACCCATATCCAGCATGTCTCACCAAATTATACAAATAGTGCTGTCCAGATGAAAATGTGCTAGAACGGTGGTGTTTCTGTTGTTTGAGGCTGACGCTGAAGTTAAAATCAGAATAAAGGCAATCAAATTTCTTACACCCCATGGATTCCCACTTAATGATAGCAAGGATTTTACAAAGCCCCATCATGACTTAACTGTTGCTTATAACTTGTGCCCCCCACAGGTTTTATTAAAGAAGTCCAGGAGTCTCAGCCGAGTCGTAACGACGGTTGTGCTTGACAGCGATGATGAGTCAGCTGTCGCCACGTTCTCTGATGTGCTGTAAATCCAGACCGTGTTCTTTTTCCGTGCTGAATTTTAATTACATTGCACCGTTAGAGAGCTCAGGCCTGTCGGGTCTCAGCATCGTCTCCTCGCTTTGCTTTGATTCACTTGTAAGAACAGGACGTCTTCTATTTTCAAGGCGTCGGTATCACAACCAGAAGGTATGTTTTAGCTTGAGGGAGCTCTTCAAGTGCTCCTGTAATCTCAGCCTGTGCTGTATGAAAACTGTTGGTATGCCAGGTTAAATAAAAATTTAAAATAAATCACTGAAGACCGAGCTGTTATGAAGCATGCCTCAGTATTATCGAATAACCTGCAATCACAGGTTAAATGGCACCGTTGATCTGTTTCTTCTAAATGAGAAGGTCCCAGGATCGCATCCCAGCCTAGTGCCTTTCTCTGTAGAGTTTGCCTGTTCTCTGTGCACTCTTTTTTTTTAATGCTCCAGTTTCCTCCTAAAAATCATGCCTATTAGGTTAACTGGTAATGCAAAATTGTCCCTAGGTGTGAGTGAGAGTGTGAATGGTTGTCTCGTTTGTCTCCATGTGTCCCTGTGATGGACTTGCGACCTGTCCAGGGTGTCTCCCACCTCTTGCACAGCGACTGCTGGATGTGAGTACCAATGATACCCGTAGCACGGAAAGGAGAAGCATGCATTGCTTTTCTAAAATGATTACTATTGTTCTTATGAATTGCATACAAATAAAAAGAAAAATAAGATTTTTTTTTTAAAAAAGCTCTTATATTATAACATTCCTCATTGTTTTTGGGCTCTTGAACATTAAAAGACACCCTAATACATTCATATAATACAGTTATTGACTCACCTGGTGTGTACAATTAATTTTAGACCAGTTTTAGTACATTAAACTTGCTTATTGATCTTATTGATGACACCTTAGTGGATATGTCATTTCCTGCTTGGGATTTCTGTGTCCAGCATCCTTTAGGACCCAGCTATTGAAAGTTTGATGAATTGTTTAGAATTACAGCTTCCTTTCATGGTTATGCTACAATTATTCCTCAAGCTGCCTTTCTCTCGCTGCTATTAGTGTATCTCTACACACTTTTTCAGCTGTGACATATTGTTTTAGAGTTCTACAAAGGTTTATGCGGTTACAAAACTGTCTTTCTCCATCTTTTCCTTTTATTGCCGTTTCCACAAAAAGCTCCTTTTTTGTTGTTGTTCCTGACCTTGTATACTCTTGTAAAATGTTTGCTCTTGTAGCAAAAGAAAAAAAAAATACATTTGTTGATATAAAAACAATACTTAGATAGGCATTTGTGATGGAAATGCCATCAATTCTGAAGAGAAAGAGGAAGGGAGGCATGTTTGTACGCTTTCCAGCTCCTGGAGCTCGCTCCAACTGTGAAAGGCCACTGCCATTGTTGGGTAACATAATCCACCAGGGAGGTCTTAAGCCAGACACTGGGGAGAACTGCCTACACACACTTTCTATCAAGCTCTGGGTACAGATGCAGATCCCTTTCAGTGCTGGAATCAGCTGCTGAATGCTAAGCAATTTTTAGCTGTTACTTAACGTGTGTGTTTGCGATGTGTGAGAGAGCACACATCCCATCATTTGTTGTAGTTCTGGACAAAAGCTCTTTGCACTATGTGCCTTGCTCATTGATGGCGACAGATTTGGATATTTTCTTTTGCGGGGAGTGAGGCGAGCGGATGTATGGATGAATAAATAACTCTTCTGGGAAAAGACATGCAGGAGATAATGGTTTCAGGATGATTTTAATGAAGTGGTGTGGCGCTGATGGTCACCTGCAGCACTGATGCCAATAATAGTTTGTCTGTGAGAAGCAGGTTTATGGTTTGTGTGGCTCATAATGGATTTTTTTTATGGACTTGTGCTTCAGTATTGGTTTTCCTGTAATCTAATAAGTCCTGTCATTTCTCTGCTGTAGAGGCTTCAGTTGTGCACAGGCATAAAAGCACACATGTAGGAAAGATTTTCACTTCCGAATGATTAGTTAACCTTATCAGCATCTAGTTGTTATCTAAGTTATTACCTTGTGTACGCATGCGTTACCTCTGTTTATTATCAAAATATCTAATGAAAAGCTGGACAAATTTTAACGACAGTATCAGAAAACAGTTTTAGAGAGTAGGTTTTCAGCTAAACCTGTTCAAGCTAACTTGATTAAAGATGGCCACCACAGCCTAGAGTGATCTTAGAAAACACATAAATGGCTATATATATTTTTTTTATTTCAGCTACTGAGCCACATTTTGATGTGATAGTAACTGAGAGGTATCGACAGTATGTGTTCCAAGTGCTTCTCATTATGTGATTTTTGCCATAAACTTTAACATTAACCATATTCATCACAGTCAGTCCTATTTCTCTGTCACACACTACTTTCTGAAAACAAAATCACATATAACTCAGTGAATTTTCTAAAGACTGAGATAAAATTTGATGTGGTAGTACAGCTGAAAGACCTTCACAATGAAAACTTTGAGCACAACTTCTCATAATATCTTGTGAGATCAAGCATAATGTCAAGAATTGACCAAAAACACTACATCTTCATCCAACATTTTTCAGTCAGGTCATCTGGACAGTTTATTTATTTTTTGTGCTGAAACATTTCGTCTTCGATCCAGAAGGCTTCATCAGTCAAGGAAACACACAACAAAACTGATTCTTCCCCCAACAGCTTACTCCAAAGTGGAACAAACCAGTTTTGTTTGTGATAAGATGGTTTCTTTGGTACGCCCCCTCCTCCATTGCCAGCCCTCTTCCTTGTTGACAGTCATGTCAAACTGGTTGAAAACAACAAAGTCCATGCTCAATAATCCAGGTATACAATCCACTACATCTTCATCTTTTTCCAAATATTATTAAAAAAATAAAAATAAAATAAGATATTATTTACAACTCTGGTGCAACATTCAATAGACATAATGTATTTCTGCAAAAAATACTATACGTTTCATTTATTGTGTTTTTAAAACTGCAACTATGATATTAGTTTTTGTCATCCCCTGCTTATTATGATAAAAATTATATATATATATATATATGTATATATACAT